CCGCCTCCCATTCCCCTCCCCCTCCCCCAATCAGGTCCCCCTCCCTCGAAAGCCCAAAGAGCAATCAGGGTTCCCTGCCCTGTGGGAAGTCCAAGGACCTCCCACCTCCATGCAGGTCTAGGAAGGTGATGGCTCATTCATTACAAGGCTGATCTCTTCCTTCCCCTATGCTGCTACACTCTCTAGTCCCAAGAGAAGGAAACATTCTGCTACAATAAATACTTCGGCTCTTGTTTTCCCAAGTGCCTGATTTGTGGTGTATTATTCTGATTGGGGCACATACTTTGGAGCTGGCCCTATGTTTGGATACTAACTCTAGTGCTGCATAAAATGGACAGAACATTTCTGAGTCTCATTCACCTTGTTTGTTAAGTGGAAATAAAATAACCTATGTCTAGGGCTTATTTTGATGATATACACTAAAGCACTCACACACAGTAAGTCACAAATCTATCATCCATTTTCCTTCAAAAGTCTAAAACATAACTTAATTTCTGGATAAATACATTGACAACAAATTCTTTGGTTTTAGTTCTAAGGCTAATATTTAGAATATGGGAAATGCATCTTTACAAGCATAGATTGTGGAGTCCCGGGGATACAGTGAGGCTAAATTCAGTTCTTGAGCATACCAACTTAGGAGCCCATAATGATCACTTGAAACCTAGGCTCTCTCTGAGGCCAACAGCATTATCAATCATTTAATTATGATTAGTGAGTGACAGTCAAACAATGACTTGAACCTGTAACAAGCCTGTACCAGATACTCTATCATAAAGCACACACACATTAGAGCCTTAAGACTCAGACTCTAACGACGTCATCTCACCCTTCCACCTACAAAATACATGCTTCTTAGTCATGATTCCCCACAAAGCTTTAAATCTGTCAGATTTTAAACTAGTGTCCAGTCAATTAAGTTCCTGAGCTAAGCACCCAGGATTAAAATTCAAGAAGAGAATTTCAAGCAACCCACAGGCTGGCACAGGACTTTTATACCCTCTGAAGGGGCTGGAACCTCAGAGAACCATCCACTTAGAAAGATGGGTCATTCCTCGGATAATCACTTTTACAAAGTGGAGGATATTTAACTTTTGTCGGTCACCCACTCTCCTGCTGAACAATCACACGGAACACAAAGTGTCAAGTAATTCCCGAGGTCAAAGTCCTCCCAAGGGTTATTGTCTTAAAGCACTGATATAATTTTGCAAAATAAATGCTTACCGAGCAAAATAACTCTGTTTCCGTTCCTTCTGTTCCTTCTTCTCCTCCTTAGTATCCATAATATACAGTCGGAAGTGCAAAGTACTTGGAAATGTCCTTTTTAATCAGTGAATCATATTCCTGCAATTAAAGTAAATACACAAATGAAGCAACTAGAAGTCGAGACGTTTGTAATGGCTAATAATAGGCAGAATAAAGCAGAGTAGAGTTACATGGTCCAAAACAAATGAAGGATAAACTTTAACCAGGAAATAGTCACATGAGTCAAGTGCAAAATGCTAATGGGCTGGGAGTGAGGCAAACCACAACACCACCATGAGAATGTTAAACCACAAAGCAGACTAGCAATGGGAACCAAACTGAAAAGCTTTCTTTATAATTAACAATGATTTCAAAATGAACACTTCCACTGACCAGGAGGCCGAGGGGTAGTGATGCATGGTCTGCTCACTCATTTATTTTTTTAAGTACTGAACACACAATCTCTCTCTCCTAGTAATTCATCATAAATAGTTCTCATGGGTAAGGATGCAGATGGCTCACTAGGTCGTGTTACAGAAACGCGCTTTGCCCCAAAGTAAAAGTAATCTCTCTGATCTTCTTATCTTTTTAACATGCCAGCAAGAACATCCCATTTGAGCAAATGTAGAAATGAAAGCACATAGGCCCAGGAAACGACGTGAAAAGCTGTGGCTCTCTGCACTCCTCAGCCTCTCTCCAGCCAGACACCCTTCACTACGCTTGCTGCCGTGGTGTAAACCAATATAATAAAAACTTGTTTCTAGAGCAACCTTCCGGAAATACCATTTCACCGTACTATTCCTCGGCTCACAGTTCTCCATGTCCACTCACTACCAGCTTCAGCAGGAGAATTTCCTACAGCGCTTTCACTCATCCAACTAAACATATGTTCATCAATTAATTTCAATTTAAAGAAGGCAAAGTACATTTATAAAACAAAATTGTTCATGTATTTATTTCAATTCAGTTTCATGCACAATATACATTATGGGAAAGACACTATAATAAATATAGAGACTCAAGCTCAATGAGGCATTAGATTTGCTCTAATGGAATCCACTGTCTTTTGTAAGGCAGACACAATATCGCAATGAGACATCTATTGTTTCAGAGGGGACACAGGTGCCATAAAAAAATTACAGGCTAAAAAAAACAGTCAAAATCAGCATCCCAAAATGTATGTATCTCAAAATGCCATGTTGGACATGATAAACATGCATTTTTTTTGTCAATTAAAGCCTTAATGTCTTAAAGTTATTTTTTAATTATGTGTATGGATATGTGAAAGTAAATGCAGGTACATGCCGGGGTCAGAGGCCTCAGGTCCCTGTGGAGTTGGAATTACTGTCTTATGTGGATACTGAAAACCAAAGGCAAGCATTTTACAATAGTATAAGGTCTTAATTGCTGACTCATCTCTTGAAACCCTAAAACTCTCAACATTAAAAAAGGAAAAAGCAAAACCCACTCAGCCTTCGATAGCCCACCTGATCCCCCCATCTCACAGAGAAAGGATGTGGGTACGAGTGTGGGCTTCCCGTGACAGGTGTAAGAAAGTGCTTCAGTCTGAACTACAGCAAGGGAACAGAAGAGCTCCCTGCTGTTCCGCTGTTCTGGGGTAAAGTATGCAGCACAGAAGTGTGGGACAGAAAAGGCATGGGAAGGACAGGGCTCAGGGAAGAAGGAGCTTGTTTGTCACGCTAAAGAGCCATGCACCGTCCCAGCTAGGCTTCCCCTGAGCCCACTCTGAGGCACTTGTTAGCCATCTCTAAGTAAGGACACCAAAGCCAGGGACTCTATTTGCAGCAGCAACGCCATGAGAAAACAGTTCAGTGACTGTTTGTAAGAACACCAACTTTTTCATCCCTGATGCATACATAGGAAAGGGAGTCACCCAAGGATTCGTCTGTGAGTCAGTGTGGCATATCATGAGCAGACAAAGACTTGAAAGAACAAAGACAGGAGATTTCTAGGAAAGAACTTATGCTTAAAATTGGTTATGAGAAGAAGGCTCAGAACCAGTCAACGGCAACTGGGAGAGAAAGGGGGATGGATCTGAGGAACGCTGCAGAAGTAGATGAGATCTGGCAATCTGCTCAATTTAGGCAATGCAGGTGAAGGAATGAAGAAGATCCGGTTTCTGCTTCAGGGACCAGGTGAACTGTGACAGTAGAAAGAGGGGTATCACAGTGTGGGGGAGCTGGGGTACACAGAGACTGAGATCAATTTTCGATATGTATGGCTTCCAAGAGCCTGTGGGTGGTCAACTGGAGACACTCTCTAGTCTTTGGTTAATTTGGTTATAATAAAAGCACAGGAGGATAATAAACACAAGAGGAAAAAGAATAAGAAATTTGCATCATATTGTTATCATTAGGAGAAAAAAACGAAAAGAAATAAAGAGAAATATACCAAGTGGAGATCACTCTAGAAGCTTGATGTGGGCTGTGTTCTTGATAAACAAATAAATAAACAAATAAATAAAACTTCACCCAGTGAGGAAAACAAACATGAGCAAATAGCCAACGTGTGGTAGCAACTTTGAGCTTCCAAAAAATAACCCTCAGGATTTAGAACATAAAAGGTTCTACTTTGATAAAGATAGAACATAGCATTGCAATCGATAAAGAGAGATGAGGGACCCCAAGAGGGGGGAACACCTAATCAGAAGAGTAGGAGTGGGAAAAGGGAATCAACCTTCCTGTCAAATGCCACGTCATCCACTTTAGCCCACTAGCTACTTTATTAATCCTTAGAACCGCTTCACACAGAAATCCTCCCTGTCTAAAGGTGCACCAAGAAGGGTGGGGGCGAGATGTCAACTAATTTCCCCTACTTAACACCACTGGAACAGAGATTTAGATTCAATTCTGTACGTTCTGGTATCTTGTCATAATTTGGAGTCAAAAGCAATCAGAGATGAGCCAGATAATAGAGTGTGGAATTTACAATGATCATTGTTTCAGCAAAAACCATGCAGGGCAAGACAAACGTAGCTGGCCTTATCAAGCTGAACTGAGTCCAAAGAGCAGTGCGCATGGAAGCCAAACTACAATGAGTTGGGGTAATCTATATCTATCCATAATAAAAGACAGAAGCTGAACTTCCAACTCTACTTAGCTCTGTCCCACCCTATAGCTTGAACTCTTTCTCAACTCTAACCTTTTTTTTTTAAACTCCTTTCCCAAGCTTGAAGTTGCTTCCTTCTGAGCAGATCAAGCAGAAGCCTTTCTTAGTGTGCTCTTTCCTCTCCTCTGCAGAAACGTAGTTCACATGTTATCTGTTATCTCGGGCCATTGCATCACAGACTATGTGACAAGCCTCTTCACTTAGCTTCCTCCACAGGGTCCAAACCATAAGCTGCTGCCTTCAGGTCAAATGGCACCTTGGTTGACACTCCCTTTGACTTTCCTCAGGGATAGGATAGGTACTACAATCAGTAGAAATTTCGGAAAATGTTATTTAAGAGGTCAAATTAATCCAGAGTTGGTGATAAGAACTCAACACAGGGTAAGCTTTATTTTTTAAATGTGTTATATATATATGTGTGTGTGTGTGTGTGTGTGTGTGTATAAAATATGTATATATCCGAGTAAAGAATTTTGATGGGTAATGTAGCTTCCTTCAGAGTCTTGACTGGACACAAATCCTAGGCTCTCCACCCTCCTTGGGCTACGTGGCTTATTTCACAGTTCTCTTCCTCACAGCACAAATATGTATGTAATGGTCTCTACTTATTAGATTTTGCCTCATGAATAAAAATGAAGTCATAACAACCTAATTGGAAAAATTTTATATTGAAAGTTGGGCCATAAGCTAATATTTGATTCCAGAATTAAAATACTGATGGAAGCAGGCAAAAGAAGGAAACCGTAAACCACCGGAGAGCTGACGTCTGGCGCTACTGTTCCGTTCAGTGCCACCCCGCCCCCAATATTCTATTAGATACATTAAATATGCTAATTTCTGCTGGTTTTTAGGTCTGTGGGTTTTAAGACCACTCTCTAAACAAGACAGATGCTCTCACTTCAACAGCAGATGAGCCAGGAAGAGGTGGGCAGTGGGCGCTCTGAAAATGATTCGCCGAGAACGCCACACTGCCAGCCTTCACGCTTCAGCGAGGCTGCAAAGCTCCTAACTCAGTCTCTAATGGGAACTACATTTCCCCGGGTAAGTGGTTATAATGGGCTTCTTAAAAGCCCTTCATTCATTTCATGTTGACATTTTCTCACATCAATACACTCTAGGCCAGAGTTGTCTGTATTTATGGTGGACCTCAAAGTGTTTTCCGAGGGAACGCAAGACAAACCTTTCATCTAAATGTTTCTTTTTGGTGATTTTAAACCAGAATGGCCAGTGTGAGCCTGAATTCAGTTCATTTTTAAAACACAGAAAACCCTCCCCTCATTAAAGCTATGATACAGACAAGATATTTTTTTTCCGCATTACTAGTACACTGTCCTTCCTGTGTGAGGGTGTGCTACCGCTGGCAGAATTCGAGAGCAGAACTAAAGGAGACTCGCTATTACAGTATTGTCAGTGTGGCCTACACAGTATGTATGGCAAGGCTTCTGGCCTCACGTCTGACACACTGTGGAGCCTTGAGCAGGCAGGTGTAACCCGTCAGGACCAATCTCCATAGCCCAGCAACTGTTTCCCCAACAACACGTTCCCTAATGTACAAAGGAAATAATGACAGGAACAAGCATTGGGGCCTTGTTACACCGAGTCTGGCCACTTCAGAACAGACCAAAATACAGCTGTTTTTATATGGACACTTCCTTCTAGGAAATTAAGCCTAGCAAAACATGACAGGTGTTCCTTCTCTCTCAGAGCCACATTTAAACAAAAGAAGGATATTCAAAATTCACTATTAACCCTTGTCAGAAATTCGAATATTTTTATTAACAACAACAAAAAAACCTAAAGGAAAAACACACAGAACTAAATACAAATATGTACCACAAACCTTTGAGAAAGCCAGGAGGCAATGTCCAAATAAACAAATATAAAATCATACACACACACACACACACAAAAAAAGGCAACAACAAAATGGAGATATAATGGCCTTAAAGACCCAAGGGGTGACTGAAGCA